CCGGTTTGTATCTATCCTAGCGCCTCATTTTGAAAATTCTGTCCGGATCGGTATCTACCATTTAGCAGGATTTTCGGGGGTCCTTTCTGAGCTCGATTGAAAACGTGCGTGACTTTGTAGTGACTTTGTTCCTGGTGAACCAGTTCTCGGTACCTGACCGCGTTCGCTTGCAGTGGGAAAAGTGAAAGATAAAGTTCAAAAATGGATCTTCTCTGAGTAAGTGGGTGACTTTCCATAACACAAATTTTCTAGATTTGAATAAATCGACGAGATCTAGGGTCCTCTGCCGGGATGCCGATTCTTGTAAGGGTTCAACTTTGATGGGAGCCCTGGTTGGCACCCAGTTTCAAACCTTAATCTGTTCAGAGGGTACAGACCCCTCGTATAGACTTAAACCCCGCAATAAACCCTGAGCTACACCTTTTCTGGAACGTTTTGATGGTCCTTGTCACCCTTCGCCCTGACGCATCTGCACCTGTTTCTCGACGTCGTGCGCGCTTCCTTCCGCCTTCCATCCCTCGCCGCGTTGCTTCAGTCGACCATGGAGAATACATAGCGACTGCCACGACGCACTTCTTCAGCAGCGCCAATACGCCCTTCAGCGCTTCGCCGTAAGCGCCACATCAATGATCACGGCTTTCTTCTCCCTAGGCCCTCCCAGGATTTATATTCGCAATTTTGTAGAATGCAACGCAGGATCATCTGGCCAGGATGACGAGGATGACCATCCCTCTTAAGGTATCGTGCTCCCCTCCATTCCAGTCGTGTGAGCGCGCCGCAATAAACTAATCTGCTGCCCTTGCTGTTTCAGCCTCTCCACCAATTAACACGTTTTCCACTATACAGAGCCCACCGATGGCCTCGCGCGAAAGTTTGGCATTGAAAGGCCATAAAAGGGAGCTGAAATGTCGCAGTGAGTAGCACAAAATTCATCTTCGACACTTCTCTTATTCGTTCTTGCTTTACAAAGTCACTCGTTTATCACCTTACCCACTTCGCTATGGCACAAGATCAACCACGCCGACCCTTCGTTCCATATGATTCACCCCACCGGGAATTGCCCTTTGCGCCAAAAAACTCTTGTGCCCAATGGAATGCCCTCCCACCAGTGCGACCTTATCTTAACAGCACATTTTGGTAATGCTCATCAATCTTTTAGGTCAGCTCGATAGTTGGTTCAGGCCCTGGAGGTCTTGCAGGTTCTAGACAGCACTCGTATCATTTCCCAGTTCGTTTCATTCATATCTATTATTATACCTCCTTTCTAACGATCTGATAGCACTTCGACGCCCAAGGAGCCACCTCTCATCAAGGTCCACGTATTTCCGGAGCCCCGTTTCAGCTACGGATGCCACCCCACCACGCCTATACCCAGCACACCATGCCACCCGCACTTGTTCCCAGTGACATTCCTCTCCCACACTCCTCCGACAACGATCTTATTCATGGACCCACCATTGCCAGTGCTACCGGCCATTCTCCAGCATCCTTTGTTGCTGGCTCTCGGCATAGCGAACGGGGGCATCACAGATCGAGCAGTGCCCCACGTACCAGCAGGGGGAAGGGGAAGCAATCACATGAGTTGACGTCTGAGTCGTCATCGGATGACGAGAAACCCGTTGCGAAACGGGGGCGTCGTGCAGGTGCAGGGAATTATACGGAAGGGGATCTTTCCCAGTTGCTTACTCTTGTTGAGGAGGAGCTTCCGATCGGTCAACGAGGTTGGAAGAAGGTTCATACGAGGTTTGCAAAGTGGGCGAAGAAGAACAATCGACCTGAGCGGGATTGTAAATCAATTGAAACGAAGTATAAACAGGTATTACCTTTGCTTCTCATTTCCTGTGTTATCCTGATCGTTGTCGTCTAGCTCATTAAACCAGGCAAACCGACAGGTTCTGCTAAACGTCCTGACACTATCACCAGAGCATTGAAGATTGAGAAGGAAATCAATGAGAGAGCCGGCACACGCGATCTCCATGACTCGGACTTCGATAACTCTGGTGAAGTCGAGATCGTCGGAGGCCCTGACACTAATGACCCCACATTGCACACTGTCACCGTGCGTTCCAACCACTCTGAAGTTCCACAGCCACGTCGCATGCGCGCAAGTGCCCCCACCCTTGAGCTAGTCCAGACACTGTCGAAGGCCTTTGATCCGGCCACCCAACGAAGCCGCGAAGACGACCGCGCTTCTCGTTCCATGCAAACGACTCAGTTCCTCACCATGTCGCAGCAGCTTCGTGACGCCAACGCAACCATTGAATCACTGCGAAATGAATTGACCCGCTTACGCGATCGGTTCCATGATGCAGAGCGGGCTCGCGATCGCGCTGAGCTCAAACTCGAACTCACGGGAATGAACCCGCAACCCTCTGCACGCCGATACCATCCCTTCCCTAACAGGCGGCATCTTCCCGGAGTTGTACGTGTTCGGGGAAAGATTAAGAGCGAGGAAATCTTTCCTGAGGGTGGCAAAAGTGTCACTTGGATCACAGATACGGCGAGCTCGTCATCAGAGAAGGAGAACATTGATCCCACCACTTCTGTATATAAGAACTCTCGCTTTTCGCCTGTTCAATCTCACAGCCGTCGATCCTCAGGTGTAGACTTCGCCCCTCCAACATTCTTTGCCAACGCGCCCCTTCTGTCGGCTCAGGAACCCTCTCCAGTCCCATCTCATGCTTCCCCGGCTAACAACAATGGGCTTCTTGTGACACCCCGTCGTAATGGCGGAAGCATTTCTTACATTGTCAGCCCCATCCATGTACCTGGTCCCGAGGATAAGTAATTGCCAGCCTTCTCAGTTTTTCGTGGCTAAGTATAAAGAATTTTATTTCATTTCATTCCAACTAAACACACTCCTTCGACATCTTTGCGACGTCTCTGTCCAACTCCTCACTGTCTTTACATCTTAAGCCAGCTCTTGCACACCTTTGCGATGTTTCTGTCCAACTCCTCACTGTCCTTACATCTTAAGCCCAACTCTTGCACACTCCCTCACCTTTCTCTATTGTATAGCCTATGTTCATGTCTCGTAAATTCACCTTCTCTGTTATGCTACAAACTTTCCAACCTTCCTTGTAGTTAATATTCTGTTGACTGTATCATATCTAGTCAAATTCGGGGTAAGTATGAAATCTTGAAACACGATCCTTCTTCCTTTGATCTGCGAAAAGCATATCTTCGAAGTTTGACCATATTTCTTCGTCTTCGGCATTCATTCTCCACTGGGGCATGTACATAGTGATGGGCACGGGTTACCCGCGGGTGTTTTCACACTTACCTTTACCCTGACCCCACGTGAACCCGTACCCTTTCCATGGGTAAGGGTATTTTGAAGGTAGGGGTGAGGGTTTGCACAGGGTTTGAAGGGTCAGAAACCCACAGCGGGTGGACGCAAGGGTCAGATGAAATTTGAATGTAGTACAAGCTAGTTAGACGTTCTGCAGGACTACCTAATCATATGTAATATAATCCCACCCAACTCTCAACTCATCTTCTTCTCCTACGACATCTGGAAGGCTGGCTGCGGCCTTAATGTCAGCATCACGGACGAGGCCCAACTTGCTCCAAGCCCCAAGACACATCAACGCGCGAGTTGATGCGACGCTCAGTCGATTACGGATGTGAGATAGAACGAGCCGCCCCTTGCTGAAGACACGTTCAACATCGGTAGAGGTGGCTAAACGAGGGTGAGGCCTATGACAAACTGGCATGCAGATTTGACATACCAGGAATAGATAGATAGTTCCGCGCCATCCGAGACAAGCGAGGGTAGACAGCGCGCATTTCAACCCACCAGAGAAGTGCGTCTTTGACCTTCTCAGGTCCCGTGCTCAGGTATTGTGCCAGCTCGCTCCGAAGTTCTTCGTTGACAGGCGCCGAACTTGAACAGGACAGCAAGTCGATGAAGATGTTCTCCGATTGGGAAATAGGTGCCTAGGAAACTTTGGTTGAATTATAATGTAGTTAGAATTATATGCGACGTACCGATGCTGCTTCTGGTTCCTCCAAGTCAGGAGACATGCTTGCGTATCCTCTATCAAATTCCTCTTCAACGATCTCACGTGCAGTCACGATCCATTCTTCTTCCCATCCAGCCGATCGGAAATAGTCGAGTTTGCGCTTTGGATCGAGCACTGAGTGGGCGGACATTAGTTGCAAGTCTTGAGAGTATAGAAAGTTGAGCTTACCCATTGCGATACGATATACCTCCGAATAATCTGTCATATTGTAATACTTGTTTAGCAGCCTCTTCCCAATCAGCATGGAAGCCCGGATCGAGGGGAGATATGACATATTGAGTGCACCAGAGGCGAGGTGCTTATCGATGTAGTCCATAGCGGGGATGACCTTTGAGAGGTTCGGTGTTTGAGCAGAGAAAAAGAGCGTCGCCTGCTTGAAGATCTAGAGAAATTTTGAGTAACAAAATGTGAATAAGCGAAGCGACGTACTTTTAAAACACCTGAAAGCTTTTCTGCAATCGTCCACTCCATCTCCGAGAGCTCATATGACCGAAGCTTCATCTCACGGATACCAGTCAATTCGTCAAGTGGCTTGCGGTATAAGAGCGCGAACTCGAGCATGTCGAATGTTGAATTCCATCGTGTAGTGACATCCCGAGGCATCATCCGAAGTGAGAGAGGTTTCTGTTTGGCTGCTATGCTCACCTCTGCATGTTGCTTGAGAATCAAGAACCATTGTGGTAGAATGATCGTTGTCGAATTCTTGACGGCGAAGGCGAGTTTACGGAGCTGGTGATGAAAACAAGTCAAACGTGAATTTAGTGTTTACGCTAGATTGAATCGGAGACTGAATTTACTTTCACCAAGACCAAACGCACTGGCCGTAAGCTCTCGTCGAGTTCTACAACCTCTTCCGCGGACATCTCATCTCGAATATCAGCAAGTCCTTCACTGCTGTCATCTTCCTCGTCATCCTCCACTAAATCATTCCCCATCAGCTCCTCTTCAACTTCAATATCTACAGCAAGATCAGCAAGGGCTTGCGTCGCGGCATCAAGCGCGTCATCTGCTTCAGCCTTTGGAAGGTCGAACTGCTTCAAGATGCTTTTAGCGACGAGGTTAAGGATATGTGTGAAGCACCGAGTGCGGTTTGCTGCGCCAGGAAAGTCGTCCAAGAGGTTGGAAAGCTCGTCGATCATCGTATCGTTTGGTGCGGCATTGTCGCAAGTTATGCTGAGTACCTGCAGAACAGTGAGTCACCGAAACTGATGTTAAACAAATATGAACTGACCTTATCTGAAATTCCAAAATCATCTAGAACTTTAGCAAATGCAGCAGCAAGGTTCAATCCCGAATGCGACTGGGCAACCTCGACAAGATCAAGAAGCATAGAAAATGGAACGCCATTCCGATCGAAGTGGGCAGTAACGGCGATGTATGCCTTGGAATTCGGTGACGTCCAAGCGTCCGTTCCAAAGCTTATCTTACCGTTGTGCTCCTAATACAAGGTAAGTGTCTGTTATGCCATTTTTAAACGCTACTCGTTACTGACCTGAAGCATCTTAGCAATCCTCTTTCGCACCTTCGTAAACACTTCCTTGACATCACGGGAAACAGTTGAACGAGATGGTAAGTAATACTCTGGCCTCCCCGTTTTCATGAGGCAGCGAAATCCTCGGTCCTCAACGATGCTGAATGGGCGCATGCTTTCAGATACCCAGCGAACAATCTCGGCCCTATCAGGTCATTGTCAGAGGATGAATAACTTGAACATGCTATCTCTCTTACCGAGTCTCCGCTTTGGTGTGTTGGCGATGTGAGTACGATACTTTTCCTTTCCCCTTGCGCTCAAATGCTGCCGTGATTGAGCCGTCCTGAAGCCCGCCAAGAGTTTTGCGAGCTGACTCGATGTCAACCTTTGCATCCAAGGCTTTAGCGACAGTGTCTCCTCCCCAGCAAAGGATCGCATGACGTTTGAGGTTACTGCTCGATGTCCGGTCCCACGTATCGAGGTAAC